TATAGATAAAAAAAAAAAAAAACACAAATTCCGTTAATGATTATGGCCTTGTTTGGTAATTTGCTGTTAGCTTTAGCGGATAGCGGATTATAATAGCTGTTTTGACCAGCTGTTAGTATTAGTTGTTTTGACCAGCTGATACTGTTAGCGATTCAAAATAAGATGTTTGGTTAAATAGTTGATTGATTTGTGAAAATATATTTGATGTTATTATTTTGTTTATTTTGTTATATAGATACTTAGAAAGCAATAAATACCAATCATATTTATGTAATTATTTTTGTATCAACAAAAATTGAATCATCTTAAATCAAATTAAGTTTTCATACTTATTATAATTAAAGTAAAAAAAAGAATATAAATTGAAAATATTAAAAATGTGTTAATTACTTAAATACAAGTTGGTATTTGATAATGATAAGAAACTTTTATGTATAATTTTGTATGAATAAAATATAATAAATAAAAGTAAAATAATTTTGATTTATAGTTTGTTGCAAGTAATTTGTTGACTTGTTTTCTCACACTTGCGTTTTAATAAATTTGTTGAATATCTTAACAAAAAGCTAATGGGAAACGCTGCCTTTAGCAGCTTTTTGAAAATTACCTTTTTGGTAAAAAAAACTATCTTGAAACGCTTTGTTATCAAATGGTTTAATGTTGAAGTCAAACAGCCAAATATGGCTCAAACGCCAAACTTGATAAAAAAGCTAAAAAACAAACGCAGCCTATGTGATTCCACTCCTTTCAGCGCTTGGATGAGATGATTTGGGTCTCTTCCAGCTTAACCAGTGGTCTCGTGTTCGAGTTTGAGAATGCAGCAGTGTTAAAACTCTTGAGGGTGAGCTTTGCCGCCCTTGTGGTCCTACCCAGCTGGATTCCGGATTAGTCGGTTCCCATGTGGAACCGGAAACCGGAAGGTCACAGTACCAAAAAAAAAAAAAAAAAACTATGGTTCAATTTTTACATAAAATCTAAAAGACTAACTATTATATAAGAATGAAAATTATATTCCTCTGCACACGGTGGGCATGCCCACTAGTTTGTTTTATATGAAAAACGTATTTTGAGAATACGTTTTTCATATAAAACAAACTAGTGGGCACTGCCCATCGTGGGCAGGTGAGCGGGACTGATAAGAATGAATAATATATTCAGTGATGGTTTCGTTGGGGCTAACTCCTAAGCGCAAGTCTACAAGCTAGGAAGCTCAGACTTAGCCTGCAGAAGTCTACCGGGATTTCTTTTTTAAGCGGGCTTCTTGCCACCGGAAACCTCTTTCTTTACGGAAGATTGCTTACAACTATGCTATATCGTCCTAACTCCAGGCTGGGAATGCACTGTGCGAGCGTGTCGATACGGCTACTGGGAAAAGTCATAGCGGTATGCCAGGCTCCTTGCATGGTTTCCGGTTCAAGGCGGATAGCAGTTAGCATAGCGAGTATAATAGACAAATGTTTTATAATTTTAAAGTTGTGACAAGCATGGATAGAAGTCAAGACTTATACGGACAATACGAAGTAAAAGAAATTAGCAAATAAGATTATAAAATACCAGAAATCAACACATACACAGAAAATCAAGAAGAAGCAGAAGAAGAAAGAAAAAAAAAAAAAAATCATATAAATATCCACGCATAAGATTACAAATCACTAGAAAACGGACAAATAAGATTACAAAACACCAAAAAGATGACAAATAGCTTCATGAAACTATGCATATATATAGGGATGATACACGTACGTTATATGAAAGTAGAAAGTGTAAAAGATAAGAGACAAGACACGAAGTTAACGAAGTAGCATACTTATTTTATTTTATTTTTTTCGGAACGATAGACTTTATATTACAAATTAGCAAATAACTAAAACAGTTGAATCAATCGCTAAAGCGGTGAATTTAGGAGATCTACACACAGGAACAACACATAAACACAAATTGAATAGAAACTACAAAGCTCACACATCGGAGAATAAAAACTCCAATAATTAAGACTACAGAAACATATTAAACAAATTAAGACAAAGAGTCCACACTAGACAAAAAATACAATAAGGTAGAGTAAAGTCTCTTCTCCTCAAGCTGACCCATCATAGCTCTAATGGCATGTGTGAGAATATGGGAAAAATATGTTGTGTATTATTCAAAAGACATGTACACATATATATAGGAACATAATGAGCCTAAATCTAATCCTACAAGATATAGACAAAATATATATTATAACCATATATACAATATATTCTAACATACTAATATATGCTATCCATATATACAATATATTCTAACACCCCCCCTCAAACTCAAGGTGGTATAGTAGATAGCAACTTGAGTTTGCAAAGAAGTAAGCAAAAGCGACCCGGAAGGAGAGACTTTGTGAAGACACCAGCTATCTGATCTGAGCGACGCCACCATGAGCAGCCAGCCCATGCCCTCCTCCGCCGCCTCCACGGCGGACTCGTAGGAGACGCAACCATAATAGCTCTGCGGTGGAGTCAGCAAGAGCACGATACTCAGACTCGGCACTCGAGCGAGAAACTGAGGTTTGCTTCTGACTGCGCCAAGAGACAAGTGAATCACCAAATCCGAGCACACCACAAGGAAGCCGACGTCGACAGGAGTCGGCGGCTGAAAGGCGGCGGCAA